TGGATTTTTCTGCCAGTTGTAGAATAATATTGGACGCGATCGAAAGCTTTAGAGGCGGCCAAATTGCTCGAAAACTCGCAACAGAGGTCGAATGAAATAGCCATCACCGGGTGAACGGAGCGTCTACGAGACGCGAGGCGCCTTTCTCGAACGCGGAACGGGAAAATCGAAGCGGAAACGAGCGGAGTGTAGAACTGTAAAGGATGGATAGATTGGATTGAATGAAGGGCTGAGAGGGCGAACAACGAAAGCGCGAGCCAACGGCTCGTTATAACGGATCATAAGCAATTACGGAGATAAGTCGAGTGAACTCCTTTTTCTTGCGAAAGATTAAATGAAAGCGTCGCACGTGCTCGTGGGAGTTATTGCACGGATCGATTTTGTAAATGGGTAATTGCCCATCGACGCAAACTCTCGCCAACTGCATGGAAAGGTATTCCGAACTCCGTCCCTTTCTATGCGTCCAGCTCATTAAATCTCAGTATAATATGATTTCTACTATTACAATTAGTCTTACTAAAGATAACCTTCACAGAAATTGATGTAGAAAATTCTTTTAAATGTGAGGAATGCTCATTTATAAATTGTGCGGTAAAAAATCGTTGCCACGTATAATATAATAAAACTTCATCAATTATAAGAATATATCGGAGCATTCAAAAATTCGTAGAACCTGAAATCAGTAATTTATAGTTCAGAACACTTTAATTATTGTTGACTTCATAAAATAGTATAAATAAAAGACGAAAATATTATGATGAATTCTGTTAGCATAAATAAGGAATGTAATCAAATCATTTAAATTAATTTGAGAGTACAAAGGAGATGCACCAATTTGACATCAAATTTCAATAACTTCAAAGAGAATGAAATTAGTAATTACTTCTCATATACCGTTCATATCACTTGATAAACTGTAGGAATGATATTCATTTCGGATGAATTTTAATTTCACCGACTGAATGAATAGCTGTTGAATCGAAAGAGAAGAGAAATGAGAATATCGTACGGGACAAAGAAGTCCATCATCTCGCTGAAAAATACGGTTAATGCGCGTGTCGAAAATAAATTAGAAAAGCAAAATTAAATATCTTTAAACGCTTTTGACACGCGATCGGTAGGTGAACGGTAGCGCTGCTGAAATTATATGAAACCGTGCTTAGTCAAAGAGTATCGTGGAACATCTTTCAGATATTAAATTCTTTATATAAATGTATTTACTTCGTCGTAAAATTAAAATTAAAATTAAAAATTCGAGTATCATGAAGAAGCCCTTTGAGCTAAACGGAACGCTTTTTCACATTTTAAATTCTACGGCATATAAAATGTGAAAAAGACCAATTAATCGTTTATTAATTATTAAGATTAGATAAATATATGACAGTATTATTACTACCTCGATGTCTGTGTCGATTCATCAGTTACCGATTAATCAGTAATCACGGAAAACTGAAGGAGTACCGAAGCCAGTACAGATTTACAGGCAATTGAAACGGCGCGTTTACTAATCTCAATGAAGAGTTACAGATAAGCCCGTAGTGGATCAGCATGATAATACTTTACGAAAGCTAGCCGATCGCGCTTGTACGCCTTCTACAGGAATTACGTGTTCTTACGACGCGCGAGGGAAGAGGAGAAACTTCTCGCTTAGATCGAACCTATTCTCGATCCGGAATCGGATTAACCCCCCGATCTAGGAATATCGGTTTATAATAACAGGACTCCACTTATCTAATCCGAAGGAATCCTAGCAACTCAGGTTCGACCTGGATTTCAATTATATTCATGAATTTCCTTTGAAGAATTGCTCGGTCCTACGAAAGTGCTATATTAGAATTCATCTCGCGAGTTCGATTCCTCCAATATCAATTATGGAATTGCATATTAGGGCGTGCATAATCCTTTGAAACCACATCAAATGGAATATTATAAATTCAAAACATACACTAGAATTTTTGTATTAATTGAGGAAATCAACTATATCCTTGCGAACGATAAGTACATGGAAGTGATGATTTATAAGAGTGACCACTAATGATAGGAGAGTTACGACCGCAGCCAATAACGCCGTGGCCCGTAATTAAAATTTAATTAGAAATCCCGGCTTATTCGGGCGGGAAAGCGCGTGCCGGTGGATGAAAATTGTTTTGATAACGGTCCAAGGATCTTCTTTCACGCTTCAGCGCGGAAAATTGGCCGTATCGCGTCCCGCGCGAGCGAGATTAAATCAACGGATGGCCCGTTAAGACGACACTCCTCTACACTTTTTTCCTCTCAGCCACTTCGCTTTTTGTTAAAACAAAAGGAACTTTCTCACTTGACACCTACCGGTATGGTCATTTTGTAGAAATAAAATTTTAAAGAAGCGCTGCTAGAAAAGGGTGCTTTATCGCCTGATCCCTGGACGGGGACAGAAAGCTTCAGGAGACGTTAGGAGAATATACAAGGGAGAGGCGATATTTCAACGAAGGATACGCGAAGGGACGGAAAGGGAATATGCTGACAGGGGGGGGTGACAAAAATGGGATAAATTTTTATTAACACGTCCCCGCGTGTTGCTGGCTTCTCGCCCAAGTCGCAATAGCGGCTACCTTTTTGCCGCGGAAACTCCGACACATTCGCGGTGACATAACTCACTCGCTTTACGAACATTCTGACATACACGGTGTTGATGAAAAACGTGCGACCAAAATAATATATTAAAATACAATTTATTTCACAACTTCACATAAACCGATTACATAAAAATCGCAGAAAATATTTAATTTAACAACACGGATCAAGTACTGTAATATTAATTTCTGTAGCCATCGTCGCAAAAGATGTTCTACATTTTTTTTACCAACACGGTATATGTATGTTTGAAGGAATATCTCGCTTACTTTACGCGCATTAAAAGGTGGTTACCGTGATGGTCGGAGGGGGTGAAGTGGCGGTTGATGAAGGCCTGGGGGAAGGGTGAAGTCGAAGTAAAATCTTATCATCGATATCCACCGGGATTTCAAGTGCCAGGTAAACAGACTCGTATTTGAGATTTCCCATGCGGGGTTGACAAAGTAAGGAAGCGTGATAGGAGATAAAGCACAGCCACGAGAGCGGAAGGAAGGCAGGTGCGGTGGAAGAGCGCGCCGCGCGCCACCGGTAAGCGGAGGAGAGCGAGGAAAAACGGAAGAGGAAGGAGGGAAGATTCGTGAGTGGTCCATGTTCGTAGACGGATAGAAACGAATAAAACCAGCCGGATGTCCCTTAAGAGATCTTCATCGGGAGAGCTTTTGTCGGTAATGCCGCGAGAGTCCGAAATCGAGCACGAAAATTACATTCACCAGTGTTCTTTCATATTTCTCATACACCCTCGCCCACTGATTTTATCCCGGCGATCGAGATTTCATCGAAAAATTTAATTCCACTCGAACTTCGACGACCGTTTTCTACAGGACTTTTTATTTCTCGTGTATCGGCCGTTCCTCCTCTTCGCCTTTTGTTCCGTTCGGCAGGAAGACGAATACTGGCATTGATCATTTCATGCCGGATCCCTTGAAACAAAAGGCTCACGCGACCAATTATTAAACGGGGTCGCTTCGCGTTCTTCTGTATTTCGATGAATTCTTTTTCTCTTCTTTTTTCCATAGATTCCGTCAAACGTTCAATGCGAACTGCAAATAAAGACGGTTTCTGTGCATCAAACAATACGAAGCCGACGAGGTGTCCGCGTCCAGAAAATACTGTATTCCCTGTGTTGATATTAATAATCGAAAATCTACTGATTCCTGGCTAAAGCTCTATTGCCACGCGTTCAACACGTTTCATATTCCTGCCAGTCACGACGATTCTACGTCGCGAAATCGACATTGTTTTATAACGTTTTCTTTTAACGCAGAACTGTTGCCAACGCGTTACGTGAGACTGTCTCACCCTCGATGGCACTTCACCTAAAGAATGGACGAGGTATGCGATGCTCATTTAACCTTCTAAACGTGCGCGTTATCCTAAACGCTTGCACGGTTTGCGAAATTTTCGACTTGAAATTTTGTTCGCTCGCAAGTTTCCGTGCAAACTTATTGCAAAGTTCTGACAGAGACTCTGAAATACGGTTCGCAGTACACAGTTGCTACAAAGATTACTTTTTGATCAGATTTGATTTCCATTTTACTCCCACGGTAGATTTGAAAAATCGAGTGGAAATTGTGTCGAACGATAAGAAACTGAGTTTCTATCGAATAGTTGTGATTGCGGATTTGACGTATTTATAGAAAAATTTTACGCTGCTGAGAACATAGAAAGTTATCGTTCTTAAAGTAAATATATAGGAATGAAAACAGTTTCGACGTAACTTCCTTTAATTTTTTAAATTAAGAAGAATGAAACTGTTTCCATTGATAACAAATTATGTTCGGAGTATTGTAGACGGTCAGCGAAATATCGATCTCGAACAAAGTGGTGGAAGTGGAATACTTTTTGCGGGAACTGTAAATTCTGTGGATGATCGAGGGTAATTCGCTTTCATGGGAACGCGGTCGGATTAGGTGTCGTCCTTCTTTTGTTCTCCCCTCCCGGATCCGGCGACCTGTCCGTGGATTTCGATTACGATTCTCAGTCGGATTCGACGCGTCCAAATTAAGGGTTAGACACGGAAGAAAGTTTTCGCGCTGGTAAATTACGCTGGTGGCCCAATTTCTCGAGCTTCCCCTTCGTTACCTAACGTCGTTCTATTTCTTCGCCCGTTTTTAAATGTGTATGCGCTTACATACATATACACGTGTATATATGTACATATCTCGTGGATCGTTGGATTAATTAAACGCGAATTTAATTAAACAAACTTGCAACGCGCCGCCGAGACCCGAGCGTCGAGGGGTAAATAAACGTCTCTGAAGAGAATTCAAAGGCAAGAATCCGAAACCGAAAAGGAATAAAGAAACGGAGTCGGAAATATCGGGGCTAACGGCTTTCGAGGCTAAGGAAATCGATTGGGAACCAGGCGAACCTAGAAAATCGCAAACATGATCAGCGACAGGATCAAATATGCCATGGAGCATCTGACCCACAAACAGTACATCTCGCTGTTGGCGCGGCCTAGCTGGAGGAGGACTCTAACGAAGAACATTAACCTGATAGTGAATATCCTTTGACCCCTGGTTTCCTTGCCGCGTTTCACCGTTTCTGTATTCCTTTTGGCATTTAAATGTTTTACACGTATGGATATTATCACGTGATTAGGCGGATCCCTACACGACTCGTCGGGGAGCTTTAAGAGCGCGTGCATCCAAGAGAATCAAAGTGATGGCACGGCCAAAAGACAGCCGTATCGTCAAAAAATATGACCCAGAGTGAGCACTTATATCAGATCCATGTTACGTATCGTCAATCTAACAAAAATAATCTTCAATTCATGTAGATTTGCAAGTATTTTTACTTTTATATATAGTGAGCTAATAAGAAACGTCACTAGAGATAATAAAATATTAATCGATTTCATTATAGCATTTTCACTTGTTGAAATTTAAGAATGAAATTCCTCAAGAAATAAAAGATTCATTCAAGCCTTCTTTTAATATAATTGAATTGTTTCCACTGCGATATTTTATTAATTCTGTCTAAGTAATGAATAAAAATATCTTTTGTAACATTTCAAACTTCCAATTAGTAACGTATTCATATATCTATATTTTATAATTCACAATTGTATTACTGCATCATTATATCATCATTCATATGGTAGAACCTATTCAATGGCAATTGTATTTGAATCATGTTAAGCTCTAGAATTGTGTGAATTGAAAGGAACTGCGGATTATTAACTTATACATGACAATACATTGATTCCCTTTGGTACAGTCGAGTAAATTAGTTTGGTCCCTGTCAATTAGAAAAGCGCCACCGCCATATCCTCGAATTCATCCGAAAACGCTCGCCGCGAAACCGACGAAACGCATCACTCACCTGGCGCTACCCAAAAAGAGGTGATCTTGTTTCCTGTCCGTGACACAGACCACCGGGAGAATTTAACGAATTCCTCGTTCCTCGATCAGAGTGCTGCTGACGAACATGAAGCTGTACCCGAGTGGGAACCTGGCCGAGATGCTATGGAAAGCGCAGAATTCGCGATACCGAAGATATCGATATTTCTGCAACGCTAGGATACAGCGTGAGAACAGAAAAAGGCGAGTTACAATTACTCTCTCTCTCTTTCAATCTTTCAGCCATTTCTCTTTTGACTGGCTTAAATCGTAATTATAATGGTTCGTTAATTTTTTTCTAAACGAGATTGCGTATTTTATTCTCGTATCAAACAATATTTAATGTTTGACGTGAATAAATGACGAAGTCGATTCGAGGTGGTGACCGAAAGAAGCTCGATCGAATCGAGAACAGAATGGAACGGGAGAGGGGAACAAACATAATCGGATTGTAGTCGGATCGTTTCGCGCCGGTGAATGCGATCTTCGCAAAGTCGGATTTGGATATCTGTCTGAGACCTTTTCCTTCTCGTGATTGCCGTTATAAATATCACCGAGTGCGATCGCGAGGACCCGTAATGAGTTTTTTGATTAATTATTCGTCGGCCAAATATTTCGTCGATAGTAAAATTCGAGGCAGCTGTGAAGAAAATTGTTGAAATTAATTGTGCAACGAAATTCGACGCCAGTTAACGGGAAACAAGGTATTGACTTCGCACTTTATGTATCGACTTTCGCCTACCTACCCGGTACCCAACGGTGTTACCACTGAACTTTGGGAGATGTGCAACTCGTGCATAGTTCACAGACGGTAGATGTAATTATTAATAGTGCCCAAGGGTATCTCGAAATTTGCAAAACAAGAACATCGAATCCTGCTTGGTCTTCTCGTTCGTCCAGCTATCCACCCATTTTCGCATTATTCCTGGAACTGACTCTGCTCGGATAACAAGCGAAAAGGAATCGTTCTCGTTAGGCGGACGAATTCGATTCTCGTTTTCAATTTCTCTCGCTCGTTCTCGTTCCAGACAGAAAATACTAGCGAGACTTCGTCGAGCGATTAAGCCCGACGAGTGGGATTATCATATGGAGATAATGGAGAAGCTCGCCAAACCGAAGGTGCCGCCCAGACCGAGAATGCCGAAAAGGAAAAAGTGGAAGCCGGTGAGCGTACGGAGGCTCGAGGAACTGTCGACTCCGGTAGCGAGGGAACTGCCGGAGGTCCGAGACCCGTTCACGGTGTCGCCGACTGCGCTTACCTACAAAGCGAGCAAGCGCATCATTAAGATTGCGTTTGCAAAGACCGAACCCGACATGCTGCGGCCGAAAATTCCAGGCGTGGTTTCACCGTCGGCGTTGAAGGCCGTAGGTACGGTTTTTCCACCCATTCTTAACACCCGCCTCCCCCCCTAGAACTTACCACTCGAAGAACCCCACGACCCCGCGAGCGGATTTCCAGGAATCGCGACGTTAGCTTACTTAAAGAAGTTAGAGCGGAAAATGGGCAAGTTGAAAATTCAGTTTCACTGGCACGTCGGGAACCGGCGAGTTTTCCGCGGATTTAAACCGATCCGCTTGGTTTCCGGGAAGAATCGGCAGGGGCGGGCGCGGCGGAGGGTATGGTTTAATTTCTCGCTTTCTACCTCAACGACAGCCACCGGATTTACACACTGTGAAACGGCCTTGCAACCGGGTTAATTAAAATGATGTTTTTCACGGTAATACACGATCAAACAGTGACAACCGCGGTTCTCGTTTCACGTTAGAAAACAAATTTCCTGGAGAGGAGAATTTTTCCCGCGCTAAATCCACAACCGGTGAATGTAAATTTCAATATTCTCTCATTAGCAAGCAACCGTTGTTCCGTGAGATAAGTTCCGCAGAGCTGGTTCTTTACGTCAGCCAATTATCCGGACGCTGACGAACGTCCGACTAAGCAGCCGTTTTTCTACTCTCGAACGCTGCCGTAGCCGGCAGCTACCATGCGCGTCCCTGTTTCTGCGAATTAGTACCTCTCCCGGGGCATTTGTTCGCCTTGAGTGCGAGTATTACAGCGACAGGATACATAGTCTTTAATTTTGCGCAGCTACGCCAAGACTAATAGAGCTCGCGAAACCAGCCGAACGGCCTGCGGGAATGGAAACAGACCTGAGGGAGGATGCGTTCACAGTCTCGCCAACAGCACTGAAGGCCAAGTGCTCGAAGAGACTGAAGCTTTTAGCCAGGCCAAAGAGGAGGAGATGATCAGCATCGACTCAGTCATCTTCTGTAACCGTAATTGTTCAAGCGCGTCTTTCATTCCCTGTTGTAACTCGTCCGTGCAGCCGTGACACATTGTACCATACGGTTAAACATTAAACTTGGAATTTTATGCCTCGTGCGATTCTCTCCGTCCGCGAAAAACGTACGCAGCTTTTATCGAGTAATAATCGTTATGGAAGTTTCAACAGTAGCCACGATCCGCGGCGAACTCGTTACCCCATCCGAGCCGATTCGCAATGGGAGGCCAGATAGAGATTGCCATTGCAAAGTCAAAGTTTCAGCGGTCGAATTAATACGTACTCGATCGTTCCGGTCACGGTTACAAGCGCACTGTCTGTGTCTCCGACCACGGATCACTTAATTCCCGGGCAGCCGCATAGTTCGCGTTACCGAGTTTCCAGGGCTTCGGACGCGGAATTCGCGCGAGGAATCGAAATATCGTGACAGCCTTTGTTGTATTAACGTTACCGAGATCGAAACGCGATTCGGTCGACGCTTGTTCGACTGTAACGCTCAGCGGAACGTCCGGACTGTCTCGTGAGGCGAGAAAGAAAAAGGATGGACTTATCTACGGTTTCTCCAGACTAATGGACAAACGCGTTCGCACGGTCTATGTAAAAGTGTCAGCGACGCCCGTGGAAAAGGGACACAATGGAGATTCTATACGGCGACCGGTGTCAGCGTGTTTACGCCGGATCGATGTCCTGCGGTACATCGGTAACGGAACGAAGCGCGGTGCTCGATACGTGTCACGTAGTACCGGACGGACGCCCGATAGAAATTCGATAGAAAGGAACCGGAACGTGTGGAGGTTCCCTCTCGTCGGAGCCGAACTCGTCGATCGTTTCCACTCGGTGGAAACGATTTTCTAAATAGAGGGCCAGTTCTCGCATTTTTGTTCTTGTTACGTCGCTCAGCGCCGCGTTAGGCAAATTTGTACGAGTTTCGTACGGACTCGTTACAAACGAAGTACGTCTCTTCATTTTTTTTGCACCAGCCAGGAACCCCGGGAAAGAAACTTGATTTCCTACCGGGGAAAAAGAACTGATATTCCTTCGAGGTCAAATTAAAAAGTGTTCTGACAAAAATCGTTATTTAATCACAGATTAGAGATTGGGTGTTTAGACAAGAAGATTTCGTTTGAAAATTTTTAATATTTATATGGATACAGAAAAATTAATCTGCGGATTATTATTTAAAATAAAAGTTACAGGATATCAATTTCAAAAAATTATATTTAGTAAGAACGTATTTTAATTTAAACATCATGCTATGCAATTTTCTGCTAATAATTTATGCACTTCTGTTCATTACATGCATTTTTTACGTTATGTTTGTATATATTCAAATTGGTTGAAATCCGCGGTCTAATTACATATATTTGATGCACATGTCATTCGAACAGATATTTATTAATTTCATTAACAAGGATTCCATTATATGAAATTAATACGCGATGAAGCCAATTTATCGAATGTGTTCATTTATTTGGATATCAAATGAAAATGTATTTTTGCAGTAACTTAATTAAATCGATACATGCATATTACACACACACACATAGAAATAAAATTAAAACGTTGGTATAATAAAATGGAACGAATATAAGTGTTTATATAACAAAATAAATAACGACGGTATACAGCTTTTCTTTATTATGTTGCCGCAACGATACCGTCAGAAGGGACGGATTAAGGCACAGAATATTCGACGGTATCGCAACGCATCAGGGCCAATTCGAAAGAGAAGATCCGAGAATCGTCCGTCCCTCGTCGATCGTCTGAGATCGTATCCGCTTCCGCCTCATTCTCCTCTCGATTCGATTGGTAGCACGAGATAGAAAGGACAAACCAAGAATAGAGACCGAAACCGGGAGCACTCTGAATCCTAACTAACCTTCATTCAACGTCACCAGAATATTCGCATTCCCACTGTTGTCCTCGTGTCTGTTTTCTTACCTAATCCTTACTCCACGATAATCATCCTGAAGGACCCGGTGATTCCATTCCAGGGTACACTGTGCAAATGCATATGTAGTATATAACATACATACCTGTACGTGGGTACACACCGGGGAATGGAGTCAGGGAATGGCGGTGTAAACAGAGGTAGATGGGACACAGTGAACCAGTGCGGAAATATCGTTTTCCTACGGCAAAAAATTAAAACCAATTCCTCAGAAGTCATCGGGGATGTGTATCGGAAAACACGGCGAGCGACGGGTGGGGAAAAACATCCGGGATCCTCGGCATCCGTTACTTTTCGACCGGATCGAAAACCTCCCTCTCTTGTAGATAACGTATTCCCGATACACTTCCCCCGAGAAGACATTATGGATTCACCGCGATACACTGGCGATCGTGTTCTTCCAACTATACAGGTATCTACGGAAATCCTTAAATTCAAGAGTATCCCGAGGCGGTTCAACATTCACGTTTTCCGGATAGTTACGCTTCCAGCAGGAAGATTAATAGATCCCATTATTTCGGAATAAGTACATTTATCTATAGTAATAATAATAATCAACTCGTCGTGTTAGTAATACTTAATCAGCGAAATGAATTCGAATTATTGTGTTCCCAGTTTCGTTAAACGGGTCCTATCGCATAACTCGTGGGTAGCGTGTTCGTCACGGGAAAATAAGGTCTATTGGCATCGTATTTCCGCAACTGTGTCGTGCGCGAAACGGAACAACAATAGCAGGACAAATATTGCGATCACCGTATCGACAATAGGCAGCGCGGCCGAATCAACGCTGCCGGGCGCGAATTCGCGAAAAACCGGCTGTTAGCGTGACTGTAATTGAAGAGGTAGTCGCTGCTATGTGAGCGTGGGAACCCTTCCCAAACAGGTATGTGATGAATGGAATGTATGTAGATGAAAAGGGGACGCGGAGACGAGCGGAAATCCTCTTACGATTCCGTCCACGTTCGGACACTCTTCTGTCCGGTTGTCAGACCGGACTCTCTTCTTCTTCTTCTCCGTCACCCTCGCGCACCCGTTTCTCCGTCTCATTATACGTACGGTCCAGTAGAATTTCAACGTGAGAGCGTCACGGATGCGACGTCAGGAAAATTAAAGCTCCGCCGGAAACGAACGGCTAACGCGTGGATAATCGAAAATGAGCATTACGCGTGCATCGTACGAACGATATTTAAAATGGACGATCAATTTCTCCATTAAATACGACCAGATGCCATTAAATATTTAGCACTGCACTTAACCAAATTTCATATGTATGAAAATTTAGCTACAGAGTTAAACGGAATATCTATCACTCGCTATATCATTAAAGATACTATTTACTTAATGTACGAGATTCAAAATTATAGCTCGTTAGCTAACGAGCATTATGTGCCGCGAGTTATTCCCTGCCGTTCTGTAATTCTTCTTCGCTCTCACAAACAGTGTCGCCATTGTCTAAACCTTTCTGACTAATTGACATTCCATTAGGAAGTCATGCCTCGTCCAAGACTGTGAAACGTACTGTCGCGAAAAAAAAGGGTTAAGTGTTTCTGTTTTAAACGAGACGAATTGACGGATCCACCCGTCGCTTCGCCATATTTACGTCATCTTGTAAAGTTACACGGGTTTCTGCAAGGTACGTCGTTTTAAATCGTATCCAAGCGAAACATTCGCCGGGGCGAGGTCGGGGTTCGGCCTTTATTGGATATCGGAAAACGCGACCCCGGCCGAGGTCCCGGCGAGGCGAGGACCGGCGTAAAGGCTGGCCCTCCGGGGATCAACGGGATCGTGCGGCCACCTACGATCATTGTTCGAATCCGCGGTCATTCCAGCTCGGTCGACGAGTCCCGTGGAGAAGGCTTACCTTTAGCCCGAGATCTCGCGCCCGATGACGAACGACGCGCAACCCAGCCCCGTAAATTTTCAAACTTCCTTCCTGCATTATGCATGACCGTCCAAGTTACAGTTTCCCGGTCAGACGGACAGACTGGCCCTTGAATCTCGTCAAATGGAATGAGAAACCGCGTTCGCTCTTAAGCTGTTCACTCGAATCCTCATGCGCGTTTTGTAGCTTTCGACGGATTTGGTTTTAAGTACATAAAGGGAATTTTTTTCAGGGTAAGCTTTGACTCGCTGAGTATCGAGCGCGTCGAATATCGGGCATGTACATTATTATACATAGAATATATACGGCAGCGCGGCGGTACGATATGGTAACTGGAAACGTAACTGTAATAAAGGAGAAAACTTGCTCCGGACCACTCGTAAGCTACGGCGTGCCTTTCTCCAGCTGGCGTGGAAGTAAATTACCAAAAGTTACTCGATTCAGCGGCCGTATAACTTTGATCTACGCGGGGCCCGGTTTATCGTCGGCCGAACGAATGTTAAGAACGATAAGCGGAAAATATTAAGACACTCGATATGGATTAACTAAATTCGGGATTAAACGGATATGTAATAAATATTCGAGATTGTATCATACGTGCAATGATTTCGAGTACAACAGAAGTAGTCGCTGGAAAATATTATGCTTTTACACATTCTTAAATGATTGAATAATCTCATAAACTCGAATGTATTGAGGATGGTCAGGACTGACGTCTGCAATAACTCAACATATTGATCGAAAACTAATGCAATCGCGCTAACCTGTTTGCACTCTCGGTGCGGTTAAGTTCAAAAGATACAATCAACAAAATGGGATTTCGCTGGGGAACGAGTCGAGTGATATCGTTTGTTTCATGACCTCTTCAGATGAATTTCCAATTTTCGTTACCGTTTGCATAAAACTAAAATTGCGAGAGTAGGCTTTTACTAACAATTATTCAAACGATGCTATTAACAGATACACTCTCAATCAGTGCGTTCGATGGACTTCGCCTGGACTCAAATTGACATATCCTGCGCCCTGCGCTATTAGTATAATCGATAAACGTGCAATCAATTACTACTACCGGCCTCGGGCCACGTTGGATGAGACCGGCCGATGATTTTTCTGTCGCATCTTCTCTCATTTT